TGTTGAAAATATTGGGACTTTAGTGAATATATCCCAATATTTAAAGCAAATTAAAATAAGACATTGGTGTTTTTATATGATGACAATTGTTGATGGGATTTCTTGACAAAAAATATCGTTGAGAGTATAAACAACGCATTTCGAGGAGCGAGGCAGTTACCGATTAGGGCATGTATTGACCTTACATTCAATAGAATTGTACAACTTTTTAGAAAGTCTTGTAATGCTGCAGTGAATTGCAATACACCTCTACCATAATGTATGTGACATTTCTTTCGAAAACAAGAAACTCGTGCACAAAGTCATACATTAACCGAGTTTGACTACAATGAAGGTGTCTACAGATTTGTCACAAAGTTACAAATAAATGGAAAGGGAGGAAATGTGCACACTGTCCATTATTTTCCATAAACATACACATGTGGTAAGTAGCGAATGGAAAAATTTTCATGTTCGTATGCTATTTCAATTTGCAGTTATGGAGGGGATGACCAACTTTCTATTGTAAATACTATGTACACTACTATAACTTATAAACAACAATATATGTATGCTTTTGTCACACTTTCTCATGTTGATTATTAGTTGGAGTCGAATTGGAAGATTGAAACAAATTACTCGAAATTTCCTATTTATTCAGGCCGGAGGAGTGTAACGAGATGAACATTTGTCATCCCGACGAACCTTGCAAATGTAGATTATGTCACAAACCTTGTCATAATAAAAGAAATTTTCCAAATCTTAGCCAAGATTTTATGCGATATGAACTTTGTAACATTTTTAATTAATGATGTAAGTTAGTCTTTAACTTGTATTGTAATTTTACGCTTAATTCATATTGTAATATCGTTTTTAATTGTTTTTGTAATTTCGTAATGTTGGAATATATTCAATATTGGTATCTATTTGAACTTATTTGTAAGATATATTTAAGGGTATAACTTGTAAAAATAATATATAAGATATAATCATATACATGGAATAAATTAATCTATATATAATATTTAATAAGGATAAAAAAATAAATTGTTCAATGAAATATATAAATAAATTGAGATAAAAGTTGAAGGATTAGATTTGTAATATATGGGGTTAATAACCTACTTACCATATAAAAAACTACTTTAAATTGAAACAAACATACAATAATAGAAATAATGTAAGACCCTAGAATTTTAGACACTTAATGTGTACAAATGTTAGCAAATTGTAATATATGAAGATATAAATATGGAGAAATGTAATAAGAACTTTAATTATTATAAAAAATCATTATTTTGAGGCTTAAAGAATATTTAGTCTAAAATTCTAATTGTGTTAAAATAAATAAAAAGTCTGTTTATTTAAAGAGGCTAAACAAATAAAAAAAAGGTAATTGTTGTATTTGTGTAACCCTTTTTGAAAAAGGGCTATTTCAGTATTTAGGTTAAACTGGAATAAATAAATAAATAAATAAACAAATACAATCCCTACAAATAGAGTTTTTTATTTTTTTTTACATTTTTTTTAATATCTTGTAGTAATAGATTAGTTTTAGAGAGTCCCATTATTTCTATCATTTCTACTTGTTTTTTCCGAAAACAAATTTTATATTTTCATTTATAACCCTAGGTCATAAATGAAAATATATAATTTGATTTCGAAATACAGTAGAAAAGGATAGAAATGATGAGAGCCTCCCTCAAACCAACCTATTTCTACAAGATATTAAAAAAAACCTATTTCTATAATATACTTTTTTTAAAATAAGTCTAATTTTACAAAAAAAAAAAAAAAAAAACTCCACTTATATGATTGTATTTATTTATTTATATACTCCAATTTAACATAAATAACGAAATAGCCCTTATATTTTTCAAGAAGGTTTACACAAATACAATAATTACCTTTTTTTTTATTTGTTTAGCCACTTTAAATAATAAGGCTTTTATATATTTTAACACAATTAGAATTTTGGATTAAATATTCTTTAAGCCTCAAAATAATGATTTTTTTTTATAATAATAATTAAAGTTCCTATTACATTTCTCCAAATTTATATATTCATATATTACAATTTTCTAACATTTGTACACACTAAGTGTGTCTAAAATTCTAGGGTCTTACATTATTGCTATTATTTTATATTATTGTATGTTTCAATTTAAAGTGGTTTTTTATATGTAAGTAGATTGTTATGGTAAGTATGTTGCTATTATTGTAGGTATGTAGAAATGTTGGAATAGTTATTCTTATTTATAGTTAAACACAGTTGGTTATCCCCTTTATAGCCGTTATGTTGCTGAATTTTAATAAATAAAAATTAACATACGTTTATTGGAGGCTAAGATTGAGAATGTGTATTAAGAAAATGATAGAGGAGGCCGGTGATGAATTGTCAATCGATGAGGTCATTATGCCTCAAGCGTGCCATTATAGAAAGACACGGTCATACACACAGGGTGTTGATAGGAAACTAAAACATATATCACTTTATTATGGCCTAAGTACTACATAAAATAATGAAAACTTGAATGCAATGGCTCAACGGAACAATGACTCAACAATTGAGTCAACAAATGACTGAACAATTTACTTGACAAACGTAATAACATTTTCAACAAACGATGTTGCCTCAAAAATCCAAACTACCTACTCATAGCATAGGTTCAATTCCATTTTAACCCCTCACAACTACAAGTTCAAAACAATCAAAACAATCGGGTAAATGAAGATGAATGTGATAATCTGCAAAGTTCTAGCATAGATGATTAAATTAAGTAGTATGGTTAAATTGTAAGAAACTTTTAAACAATTTCTTAAGATATTTTAAATGTTTTGGTAATCCGTTTATATGAACTTTCTATTAAATGGAGTTGAGTTTATATGATATTTTAATGTTTTTGTTATTACATTTACCATTTTATTAGAATGGCCGTGTATAAAAAAACTGAAAAAATAAACAAAAAAAGGATCAAAAATATATTTTATATAGTTACTATAACTGAAATTTGTATGGTTGTAGGTTGACATATGGAGACGACATGTTGTGGCTATAAGTCGACCTATTGTGACAAGTCGTTGGACATAATTTGTTATTATTATTTTTAATTTCTTTAAAAGATATAGCAACTAAATTATCACGTCGATATTTGGTCGCAAAAGATCACCTATTGTGACACCATATACCACAATGACAAAAAGGATCTATAGCAATGAAGTTGTGGCGACAAAGCTATGGTGACATGTCATTGTAGGCACCTATAGCGAGCGACATCATGTATCGTCTCCATAGCCTTTTACTCTTGGGATAATGATTTAAAAGGGTAATATATTTTTTGATTTGTATACATTACTCACTGATTTTTTTTCGTCGACATTTACCTTTCAACTTGTTAAACTATACACATTCAGTCCTTATGACCGGTTACTCCAGGTTAGCTGGGAAAATGACTTAATAGGGTAATATATTTCTCATTTTGTACACATTTAGTCCTTAATATTTTTGTATACATTTAGTCCTTAATATTTTTTGTTTCAGAATAAGTCATTTTTGTTTTTGTACTCATTAAGTACTTATGAATGATTTCTTTTGGTTTTTCTCACGACATCTTACGTGAGACAATCATTGATGAAGTGTGTGCGGCTGTTGATGTTTATGTGTAACGTCTCATTTTCACAACAAAAAAATTTTATTTTTAAACAAGGCAAAACTCCCTAATTATAAATCCATTATTAAGAAAAAATGTTTATTCCAAAATTTATCGAAAATTAGAGTAATATAAGAAACGCGAAATCCTCAATACTGTTGATAAGTGTGTACAGTCATGCTTTCATCTTCCCACGATCAACGATAGAACCCGCAAACATGAACAACTGGGTAAGCACAAAATTTAGTGAGTTTTCCCCAAAATACGTGATACAATAAACGTATTATTATGCATAACGGACCCACACTCATCAGATTGGAATACATTGGCCCAATCAGTCATCCGACTGGAATGCCAACACGCAACATGTCCAATCAGTCATCGGACTGGAATACCCAGGGTTTGTCGGCATGACGCCTTAACCCAACCGTTCTTCTCGAGCCTCCGTGCCTACGGATTACAACCGGTCCACACCAAGTAACTTGGTCTACAACATATAGCAGGACCACCTCAACCTATCCTGCCACCATATGGTTATCTCACGAAAGATGTTGTGAGAAAAACCTAAAGAAATCATTTATAAGTACCGAATGAGTACAAAAATAAGAATGACTTATTTTGCAACAAAAAAAAATATTAAGGACTAAATGTGTACAAAATATTAAGGACTAAATGTGTACAAAGTGGAAAATATATTACCCTATTAAGTCATTTTTATCAGCTAACCTGGAGTAGCCGGTCATAAGGACTAAATGTGTATAGTTTAACAAGTTGAAATGGTAAATGTGAACGAAAAAAAAAGTCAGTGACTAAATGTGTACAAATCAAAAAATATATTACCCTTTTAAGTCATTATCCCTTTATTCTTTTCGTGCATAAATGATTGTGCATTTTGAGAAAAATGAATCATCTTAAATACATATTATATTATAATAAAGTTAACTTTATTGGAATATAGATTAAATTAAAATGATGTATAAACTGAAATTTGTACCATTAAAATTTGTAAAAGGTGAATCAAAGTAGACATTAAATAGGAAATTATAAATAATAAAAATTATGCATCAAAGAGTTGATGAATTAACGTTTGATCTTTGATGTATGAACTATGAAAGAGGTGGATTACATTATTAATTTATTATAGGTATATGGTGCGAAGAGCATATATATCCCTTTAGCTCTATAGTTAAATCATCATAGCATGCGCACCGAAAGCTAATAATACAGGTGAAATATTATTATAATTTAGTTTGTTTCATCTTTTCTTAAAGTCAGGATAGGTTAATATACATCTATAACTTTAATCATATACTATTCTTCTTTAAATTAAATGTTCAAAAGTTAATTACGTCGGCTCTTACGTGTACCTTTCGTCAATGGCCATCAACATTGACCTGACAAAAGCCGCCATGAAATTCCAGCCAACTCCCCACATCTCAATCGCTATATTAACCAATCTTCCAGGTGTTTCTTTCATATATCAATCCATAGAAGAAGAAAAAAAGTACGAAAATGGCAGGAATTCGAAGAGTCAAACTGGGTTCACAGGGTTTTGAGGTATCAGCTCAGGGTTTGGGTTGTATGGGCATGTCCGCTTTCTATGGAGCACCCAAACCTGTACCTGACATGATCAAGCTCATCCACCACGCCATTGACGCAGGCATTACCTTTCTTGACACCTCTGACATCTACGGCCCTCAAACCAACGAGATCCTTATCGGCAAGGTGACTTTCTTCTACAATTAAGAGCTTAACTATTAACTGTTACTTTGATATTTTTGTCGCTGACAATTAGTATAACTTATAAGATCCTACATGACAAGAGTTTTTTCATATTCCTATTCAGTCGACTTACTGTTTAAGCATTTGTTTCTTGTTATATACATACAGGCTTTGAAGGGAGGGGTGAGGGAGAAAATGGAGCTGGCTACCAAATTTGGGATCAAATACGATACTGATGCGATGGATGTTTGTGGAGATCCGGCCTATGTAAAGTATGCTTGTGAAGCTAGCTTGAAGAGACTTGGCGTTGATTGTATTGATCTTTATTATCAACACAGGATTGACAATACTGTTCCAATCGAAATCACGGTTAATATCCTCCTCTATACAAGATCCATGTTTTACAAATATTTCTTCAGTCCTTCAATTCATCATCCATTCATATTGATCTCCTCAAATCTTTCTTTTTCTATTCTTAGATGGGAGCAATGAAGGAGCTGGTGGAAGAAGGGAAGATCAAATATGTTGGATTATCGGAGGCATCAGCATCAACCATCAGAAGAGCTCATGCTGTGCACCCAATAACAGCCGTACAACTAGAATGGTCCTTGTGGTCAAGAGATGTTGAAGAAGATATCATTCCTACTTGCAGAGAACTTGGGATTGGTATTGTTACATACAGTCCTCTAGGACGAGGGTTCTTCTCATCTGGTCCAAAGATGCTTGAGAAGTTGGAAGATGGTGATTTCCGTAAGGTATGTTGGTACTTTTTTGTTATCTTTTCCATCATGATCCACTCCATTCCAATAAGAAAATGTTGCTAGATCAAATGGGTAATTTTAACTTCAATTTATTAACGAATTTACGAAGAAGAGGTGTTGATAATTGGTTTAAAATTATTATTTTGTAGTACTTGCCAAGGTTCCAAGCTGAAAATATTGAGCACAACACCAAAATGTTCGAGAGGGTGAATGAGATGGCGGCAAAGAAGGAGTGCACCCCATCACAGCTAGCATTGGCTTGGGTTCACCACCAGGGGAATGATGTGGTGCCAATTCCAGGAACTACAAAGATTGAGAATCTTGAACAGAACATTGGAGCTTTATCTGTAAAGCTAACACCAGAAGACATGGCTGAACTTGAAGCTATTGCTTCAGCTGATTCAGTCAAGGGGGATCGATATGGTGATGGTATTTCAACATTTAAGGACACCGAAACTCCTCCATTGTCATCTTGGAAAGCTTGATTAATGCCGTGATTGATAATGTTGTTTGTACTGTGCTGCTATATATAGATGCATATGATCTCTTTTTCCATGAAAGATGCTTGATCAACACTGCGAGTTGTTTGTTTGAAATGTAATTGTTGTCCTGTAAGAACCTTGTTTCGTGTTTATTTTGGTTAAACTCGATCAGGTGTGTGGTTTTACCATTGCGATGTAAGTATATGAGTTTTCGAGAACCATAAATAATATCTTATGATTTCCCAGTTTAGAGTATATGTTAAAATAAGTACTGTTTTACATTTACAAACTTATCATTGATTTATATCCTTTTTTGTATCCTTATGTTGTTTATTTATTTCTACAGGGTTAGAGTCTTAAATTATTTGTAGTTGGTTTGTTATTCTTATTTGCAGGAAGAGCTAAAGGTGTACTCTTGATGATCTCTAGGACTAGGGTTCACATTATCTCAAATATGTCAAACACGCGGATCTATTTTGGGTCGGGATAGGATTATCCCGGGTAACAATGGGTCTGGGTGGTATTCGATCCATTCTGAACCCAAAGTATATAATGTTTAGTCTCTGTGTAATTTGGTCATTATCGAGTCATTTTGTTCTATGTGATCTCTGATAGAATTAGGGTTTCTTCATCTGTTCTTCAATCGTTGTCTGATTGAGTGATTAGATTAGGTGAGGGTTGTAGTAAGGATGGTTGTAGATTTGTAGAGAGGTTTTTCTTGTAAGTTGATGGTAACCAATTGGCTCTTGGTTCTTACTTGAATGAGAACTGTTGATGTTGTGCAATCTTGTGTTCTGTATGGCTTTTAGTTTGTTTAGATGTGGCTGTTGCTTGTTTTGATTCTGGTCAGGATCAAGTTAGGGTTTCAGTTCTAGGGTTTTGTGTTTTGTTCTTTGTCTAGATCTGGTTCTGGCTTATCAATTCTTAATGTTGAGCGTTCTTGGCTCGATTTTGGTTTTGATCCAGTCGTAGTGGCTTGATTTTTTGGATCTGTTATCAGATCTCGTCTTCTCCTGGATCTGTTTTGGTGGTAATCACCAACTTGGTAGTATCCTTGTCACACATTTGGGAGTAAACTTTGTGATAGCAGTAAATGTTTAGGGTTAACATTTTGTTAAACCTATCGGCCAACACTATCAACAAAGGCCAACATCAAGTGTGTGAACAAGTTGTTATTAACAGTGTTTTTTCTGGCATTTGAATGTCGTGTCTTCTTCGGTGGTAAGTCTGAGATTCAGATTTATCGAAACTACTTTGCTGTTTGTTGTGCGTATTATGTGGATCACTGTAAGTCTTGCACACTTTTCTTTTTTCTTATGGAGTTTTGATTTATCAGCTATCTTCTGATCACGATTGTTCACGTCTATAATATCGACTTGCTCTGGCCTAATATGTGCTATGAATCTGTTTGATTTATAGAAACTACTTGTGAACCTTCGTGCTTAGGTTTTAGATTCCCGATTCTTCTATGGGTGTGATTGTTGTCAACCAAAAAATGGAACACCAGGGGAGGGTTCTAATAAGAATGATGTTGATTATGATGATCCTTTGTATCTGCATCCTTTCGATAATTCTGTTACTACTATAATTAGTTTCAAACTGCTTAGAACTGAAATTTTAGAGTATGGAAGAGTTCTATGACCAGAGCCTTAAAGGCTAGAAATAAAATTGGTTTTTTTTGAAGGTACTGAAATTAAAGATAAAAAGGATAACCTTAAATGGGATAAGGTTAATGCTATTGTGTGTTCTTGGATTCTTAATTCCTTATCTAAATCAATTTACATGGGTCATGCCTATTCTGAATTTGCTCTTGATATTTGGAATGATTTGTGTGCTACTTATTATAAGGCTGATGAATCTGTTTTGTTCAATGTGTGTCAACGTATAAATTCCTTAACTCAAAGTGGTTTGTCTGTGTTTGATTACTTTAATAAATTGGATGGTCTTTGAAAAGAATTTGATGCTTTAACTAAATGCACTATATATGTTTGTGAAGCTACTACTCAGCAAAATAATCATTCAAATTAATGAAACTTATGCAGTTTTTGAGTGGTTTAGATGATTCTTTTAATCAGGTTAAGAGTCATATTTTAATCATGGAACCTTTACTGGATGTTAAATCTGCCTTTTCTATAGTCTCAAGGGAAGAGTCTAATCAAAAGAATGGTTATGTTCTTATTATTACAAATAAAAATCAATCTTCTGCTTTTGCTGGAAAAGTGAATGATACTAAAAAGTTAAAAAATACACTACAATAAAAATGGTCTTCTGTGACTGAATTATCAAAAACTGATTAATCAGTCTTGGATACCATGTATGTAGGACTGATGAATCAGTCTCAAATACTATCTAGGACTGATTTTAATTTGTGAATAATTTGAGACTAGCTATATCTATTCGAGACTAAAATTCGGTCCTTAATATGTTTGTGCTAGTTTAGGTTTGGATGGAAACACATTAGGGACTGGATTTCAGTCTCAAATAAATTAGCACCAATCTTCATTTTGGAGGGAAACTTATTAGGGGCTGAATTTTAGTCCCTAATACGTTCACATTAGTTTAGATTTGGAGAGAAACACATTAAGGACTGAATTTCAGTCTGAAATAGACTAATGCCAATTTTGACTTTGGAATGAAACTTATAAATGACTAAATTCCAGTCCCTAATTGCACCAAATTTGATTTTTTAAGGAACTTATTATGAACTAAATTCATAGGGACTAAATTTCAGCTTTAGATGAACATGGACACTGTTGATTTTTCAAGAGCACCTTTTAAGGATTGAATTTTACTATTTACGAAAAATTATTTAGTCATAAATACCATATATCATAAACTGATGAATCAGTAACGCATACTATTTTTATTGTAACATATTAAGGATTGAATTTCGGTTTCATATATACTAGACCCAATTTGGTTTGTATGGAAAGCCTTATGGACTGAATTTCAATCCACTATTAGAAAAAAAATCTTATAATGACAAAAGAAATTGAAAAAGTATTTTTTAAATTCGTCGTCTAAAATCATGGTGTTATATTTCAATTCGAGAAAGGATAATTATTGAGAAAGGACAATAAAACACTTCAATTTTTATTTATTGTGGTACTTTCTAAAAAGTATAACTATTGTGGTATTTTTTAAATTTGAGAAAGGACAATACAACACTTCAATTTTTATTTATATCCTGTCTAAAATCATCGTGTTATATTTCACCCCTAACCCCCTTCATTAGAGAATGTCCAAAAGTAATTGAAAAAAAATTATAAAACTATTTATATCTTGCACTCCACCATGAAGCAACTCCATAATAGTGATCATCTTGTTCTTTAATTAACGGTAAGTTCACTGAACCATCATATTAATTAAAGCGTCCGCTTTTTGTACTCGATCGGTTTTAAGTTGATTATGAGTTAGATCGACGTGGACCAAGTTTTTAAGACTCAAACCTACTTTGCCTAAGTTTTACTAAATTTTAAGTTTTTTTGGCTGCGTAGGCCGAACTCATCTTTGTAGAGGGTCGAGTCCGAATAAGTCGCTGAGTACATGGCTTGTGTTTTTGAGTTAGAAAATTTCTATAATATTTTGAAAACCAGATCGATCACTTGTCATGTTAATGATTTGATGGTTCAACCGGTTTAAAAAAAAAAACTGAAAAATGTCATTATTACATCATAACTAAATATAAAATTATATTAACAAAATACAAAATATACCAAAACTTTTGTAAAAAACCTCTAATTCAATTATATAAAACTTTTGTAAAAAAACAATAATTCAATTATATTTTTGTAGTTTGGGAACACAAAAAACAGTTTGTAAATAGTCGTGAAACATTATTCATTTGCGTGTTTAACTATTTAAAGAAAAAGTTGATTAAATAAATTAATATAATTTTGGAAAAAATAAACACAGATGTATAGGATCACTTATATCATTTGGTGGCAAAATGTGATCCCACATCGAGACCAAAATGAAACATGCGGCGGGGGCTTCCATTATAAATATGATTTTTCACTTATTAAGATTTGCAAGTAAAAACGATGGTTCGAGGCAATTTAAATTGTTTGAGTCAGTTTTTAGTTACGTGTTTGGAACGCGCCTTTCCATTATAAGTTTATTATTTGTTGAATTGGGTTTTATTTGTTAAAATGATTTAGTACAATAGTTTTTTCTTATGAATTGATTTGTTTTGGGGCATATGATAACGGGTAACCTGATTGTTTCTTTTTCAGTTTTAGATTGATGGTATCAAGGACCTATAGGATATTAAATAGCGCTTTAGAAACACATTATAGTTGAATGACACATTATCAATGATTGATATTCAGTCCTTATAATATCGTATCAGGGACTGATATTGACATAAAATGGGAATCCTAAGGAATATTGTGGAATGAATGAGATAGTTTCAAGGAATGATATTTGGTCTTTAAAAGATAGTATCATAGACTGATTTGACATAAAATCGTTAGCTCAAGAAATATTTATTAGAAACCGAATGTTATACCATCTAAGACTGACTTATTGTCTTTAATACTTAGATGTATTAGGGACTAATTTTCAGTCCTAGATACATAAAAAATCCACTATCTAGGACTAGCTTTCGGGGACTAGCTAAATTTGTCCTAGATGCTCATCTGAGACTAATTATTGACCATCCGAGACTGATTTAGTCGGTCTTTGATACCCCTTTTTCTTGTAGTGATAGGAATCAAAATCTTGTGTAAGATCTGTGGTTTGAAGGGCCATACTATTGAAAAGTGTTATAAACTGATTGGTTATCCTAAGGATTACAAACCTAGAACTGAATCTAATAAAACCTCTACTGTGGTAGTGCTTCTTTTTGTAATGATTCTTGTAGTTCTTTGGATGGCACTTCTGATCACCATGTATTCACAAAAGATCACTATTCTAAACTCATAGTCCTTAACGATAAAAATCTCCCTACCGATACTTCTATGAATGTCAATATGGCAGGTATTACATGTAACAATGTATTTTTAAAGGATAAAAAATGGGTTGTTGATTCAGGAGCCAATCAATATATGACTGCTTCTGGATCACAACTTGTTGATGTTTCCAAGCTCAACCTTAGGGTTGATCATCCTAATGGAACTTCTGCGAAGATTAACAAAATAGGAAATATGAATTTTTCTAATTCTGTATCTTTAACTATCTTTAACTGATGTTTTTGTAAAACCTGACTTCCATGTTAATCTTCTCTCTGTTCATAAGCTTTGTAAGGAAAAC